AAAGAAAGTGGACTTGGACAATTGGTTTTAAAAGCACCCATATAATTGTAGGGCTTAATTTTTTATCTACAATGCAACTCAAAGTCATCAGAATGACTTTTATATAAAAGAGCTTTGGTGAGTGACAAGAGCAAGACTTGCTTTGTACTGTGTAAAAGTCATTATCCCATGAAATAACTTTAGCCTGCCAAGATGAGAAAGAATAACAGATGCTGTTTTTGCATTATCTGCATTTTTTCAGCCAGTCATCCTTAGACATTTGGGTCAAATTTCTAGAAATTTGTTACTTGCATTTGACAGAGGAATCACGTATCCTAACCTCTTGGTTTGACCCTTCTAATTGGCATCCATTTGTAATACTTCTCTTTCTATGGCAATTATTCCTAAATTGATCCAAGGATAGTCTATTTTTGCACATGCATTGAGTATAAATCAGAGAATAAGGAAATAAACATGATAGTTACTCAAAACCAAAAAATTAGTAAGCGAAAGGTTGTTTCACATGCATTTTATATTTTTAAGCTGTTTAAATTTCAAAGATTCTTTAATTTTTGAAACTTCAAAATAGAATGATGTAAAGTTTGTTTTGTTTTGTTTTCAGATATATTGTTCTCTAGCCTGTGTGTAGTTTTTATTTTAAAAAACAAAATATTAATATTAATTCATATACTACTTTTCTCCAGCAAGGCAGAACTTCACACCTTAAAATAAATAAATGGAAAAAAAATCTAAGAACAATTATTTAATGAGTATTATATTATAACTTTTTAGAATATAATTTCAGAAAATCAAATAGGTAATTTTTTTTTTACAATAGTTGCAGAGGGAGATTAAAGACCTTAACAATGATTTTTCATTTATTTTAATAAACTTAGATTTTATGAAATTATTGACATACATTATATTTGATCATATAAATATAAGTAATATTTATTAGGCATTTAACAGTATACAAAACACCGTTGGAAGTAATTTACTTATTTATTATGTTATTTAATCCTCAAATTACTTATAGAAATAGCTTGAATTCTAATATCGCCTCCAAGAATTTTTAGCGAATTATGCTCAGATGATAAAGAACATTAAAACTGTAAAAAATTTACACTTTAATGAAATTTTCATTGAATTTTCAAAGGCTTTTAAAGTAGTAAGTTCCAATGAATTGTATGCTTATTTAAAATGCCTTATTAAACTTCACCTCTCATATTTCGGAATCATTGTCAGGAGGGACCAATCGCTTGAGAAGGATATCATATTTGGTAAGGTGGAGGGTCAGATAAAAAGAGGAAGACCCCCCAGCAAGATGATTGGCAAAGTGGCAGCATCAATGAGCTCAAGAGCGGCAACAATTGTAAGGTTGGTATAGGACCGGGCAGTGTTTCGTTCTGTTGTACATAGGGTCGCTATGAGTCAGTACCGACTGGATGGCACCACCAACAACA